GCACTGGAAGACCTGCTTCGCGGTGCTCAGGTGCGAGCCCTCAACGCTCGGGCCCCAGGCTCGGCTCGAGGAGCAGGCCCCTCCTCCACAAGGCTCTGGGGGGCACATACCCAGGATGTTAGAGCTTCTCTGTAAAGCCAGCCCTCTGTGGGGCCCACAGAAGCCTGCCCAGAATGCTTCTGGCGAAGACCTCGGCCGGGCCTGCCCGAGCTGTCCCCAGGCGTGCGGAGGGAGCGGTGCTCCCCGCTGTCCTCTGCAGCTCTCCCTTCACCCTCCCTGCCCCAGAAAATAGGCCCCGACCTCCTTGGCCCCCAGGGTTCAGGGCCCCAGCTGGTGGGGAATCCCAGGGATCGGGACTCTGCCTGGTCCCCAGTCCCTGGGACAGGCCTCACCCCGCCACGTTGTCCCCCTGCAGCAACGGGATCCTCTACCAGTATCCCGACCGCACTGACGTCACCCCCCTGCTCTCGGTGAACATGGGGTGAGTGTCCTGGGCAATGGGGCTGTGTAGGTGTTGGGGTCTGGCTTCGCTGCCTGAAGGCCAAGGCTCTGGCTGAGCCTGGTCCCGGGGCTCCTGTTCTCCCTGGCCTGAGCTGGCTCGCCTTGTCAGTACACCTGCCCGCCTCGGCCCCACCCCATCCAGCAGCCCTGAGACGTGCCCTGGGCCCTGCCAGCTCTGAGGACTGAGGGACCCAAGGGTTGGTGGCGGGGGAAGGCCCCTCTCAGGGAAGCAAGAACTTCTTTTTGCCTGGAAGGGTCCGGTCTGATAGAGGAGGCAGCCCCCCTAGTCTGTTAGGGGAGGCAGACCCTTCCCTGGGAAGCTCCTACCTTGATGGGGAAGAGGGACACACACAGTAGAGAAAACAATAGGCCTATAGCGGGAACGTGAGCGCGTGCCCTGATTCCGAGGAGGCGGGAGCTAAGAGCTGGCTCTCCCCACCGCCTGGCCATGGTTAGGTATCTAACAGGATCTTGGCGATTCTGGACGTAAATGGTGTCGCTCGGAAAGGAGCAGGGCTGCCCAGCAGCGTTAAGCCCCTCCTGAGAGCCGGAGGGTCGGGCCGCCTCGGGAGTCCTCCGGCCTTGGGCTGTGGGGCAGGCCCTGTGCCCGCGGGCCTCGAGCCACCCCAGGGACGCCCACCCCACCCCACCCCTGCGTCCCGTTTCACCCCTCCTCCTCTGGCCCAGGGGGGAGCAGTGCGGTGGCTGTCGGAGGTCCAACACCACGGATCGGCCCCACGCCTTCCAGGTCATCCTTGCCGACCGGCCCTGCCTGGAGCTGAGCGCCGACAGCGAGGCTGAGATGGCCGACTGGATGCAGCACCTCTGCCAGGCTGTGTCCAAGGGGGTGAGCTGCTCCTGCCTCCCATTCATCTGGCCTCCCGGCCCCACCCCGGGTCCCGTCCCCATACCCACGGCAGTCGTGGAGCAGCCTGTGCGGACCAAGACAGGGGACCCCAGGGGAGATCCCAGGAGCGGGCCCTGGAGCTCAGGGCCGCCTTTGGCCTGGAACTCTCACCGTCACCCCATCCCCAGCTATAGTCCTGAGTGGGCGGAGCCTGCCTGGCTTCCGGAGGTAGGGGCGTAAGGGCGGTCTGGGGCCGACCAGCGCCGAGCTCCAGCTTCTCCCTCTGCCAACACCCTCAGGTCATCCCCCAGGGGGTCTCCCCCAGCCCCTGCATCCCCTGTTGCCTGGTGATCACCAACGACCGCCTTTTCACCTGCCATGAAGATTGCCAGACCAGTTTCTTCCGCTCCCTGGGCACAGCCGAGCTGGCCGACATCAGCGCCGTCTGCACGGAGCCGGGCAGGGAGTACTGTGTCTTGGTGAGCTGGCTGGGTGGTGGCGGAGGTGGGTCCTGCGGAGGGAGCCCTGTGTCTGCTCACCGGGCCCTGCTCTCCCCAGGAGTTCTCCCGGGACAGCCAGCAGCCCCTCCCACCCTGGGTCGTCTACTTGAGCTGCACATCCGAACTGGACCGATTCCTGTCTGCACTGAACTCTGGGTGGAGAACCATCTATCAGGTACCTGGCTGCCTGGGCCCTGGGTGGCACCGAGGAGGCCAGAGCAGGGGTCCCGGGGGCAGCACCGCACCTGCAGCTCTGGGACAGACAGGGACATTTAGGACCAAAGGGCAGCCCTGACTCCCAGGGAGCCTGAGACTCAGCTGAAAGTGGAACTCAGGAGGCACCATCCCTGACCTTCTTGGTTCCGATCAAAAAACATACATGAAGTGCGTACGCTGGGGCGGAGGCAGAGAGCCGTCCCGGGTGGGCAGGACACGCTCGGTGCGGAGCCAGCTGGAGTGTAGGGCTTGCCACACAGGGTCCCCACTGAGAGCCTGGGCCTCCCCCAGGAGGAGGAGGCGCAGGCCACCACCCAGCCGTCAGCTGGAGCCCCGCCTTGAAGGGCAGGAGCTTAGCAGGCAGCCCGGCCCTGGTGCAGAGGGACCCATGGCCCTCACAGATTCCCTGCACCCCTGACACAGGTGGACCTCCCCCACAAGGCCATCCAGGAAGCCTCCAGCAAGAAGTTCGAGGATGCCCTGAGCCTCATCCACAGCGCGTGGCAGCGCAGTGACAGCCTGTGCCGCGGCAGAGCCTCCCGGGACCCCTGGTGCTGAGGCGGAGCTGCCGGTGTCCTGGTGGGGCTGCCCAGGGCCGTCGTCCCTGTGTCAGCCTGCAGCTTGGGGCTGGGCTTCCACCCCCGCCCCTCAGCCCGCTCCCAGCCGGGGCCGCAGAACCAGCGAGTGGAGCTTGAGACCGGGTCTGCCCCTCCCAGGGATCCAGAGTGGGTGCTTCACACCCTTGGGCGTCCTGCCCAGCTGGTGGGCGCTGGAAAGTGCCAGGAGCACAGGGTCCGAGCCCTATGGGCTCTGTAGTTGTACGGCCGCCTCCCCAGCGCCACGGCCTCAGCCCACGCCGTGTCTTCAGGATGGCGACGAGAATAATACCAACTCCGAGGGGAGCAGAGGGACAGGGCGGGCAGGAGTCCCCTCCTCGCCTGGGCCAGGGGCCCAGGCAGGGGCTCAGGCGGCCCCGGGGCCCCGAGTGCCGGCCGTTCTTGTTCATTGTTGAACACCTACCTGGCTGCGCAGGGAAGCTAGAACACGAAGACCTCAGCGCATGTCTCCTGGCTGACTCCATCCCCCAGTGCACTGCTGCCTGCCTGCCGGGGCCGGGGCCGGGGCCGGACTGGCCCGCCCTGGCTGCCGGGAGGCCCTGCATGCCCACGGCCCCTGCCCCGCCACTCCCTGCCCCTGGCAGTGCCCGTGGACCCCGGAATCAGGCCGTCCCTTCTCACCGGGAGCAAAGCGGGGGGGGGGGAGGGCTTGAGAGGAGCAGAGCCCACCAGCCTGGTGTCCAGTCGGAGCCTCCTGACTGTCCCCTGCTTGGCTAGAGCCAGGCCCTACCCAAGAGCTTTATCAAGGGCCCTCGGGGGAAGGAGTCAGACGGTCCGGGATTTGTTTTTTAAAATAAAATAGATCTGTTATATTGCCAAGAATCGTCACTGGCCCTTTTTGACCAGGGTGGATATGGGGGATCTCCAGTCCCTCCCCTGAGGCCCCTTGGCCCTTTATTCTCATTCCACAAATATTCCATTGGCTGCCCCGCACTGGCACTGGGGACCAGATCCCCTGCGGCCCTCGGGCCCTTGCCATCTGGAGGAGCTTGGGCCTGACCTCTGCCCTTCTGTTAGCTGCCGTGCCGGAGGGTGGGGGGAGCACCCCCCCCCCGTCCCCATCCGTCCGTCCTGCAACGAATCTCCAAGGCCAGGGCAGTGCCCTCCTGCCTCCCCAGCTCTAGGGGGAAATGCCAGCCACTTCGAATGAACCTGGAACAGTTCAGGCTGTTCCCAAGGCCTCTTACTGAGCTGCTGCCTTGGGGGCTGGCTAGAGGATGCCAGGCCTACCAGGCTGGAGGGCCATTCAGCCCTGGGATCTCCAGGGCCTCACACCTGGGAGGAAAGGGGTAAAATCAGGAAGAGGTGGGCGTGGACACCGCAGAAGTGGGGTTCTAGGCAGGGCGGCTCTGCCTCTGGTTTTGATGCACGGTGGCCCTGGCAGGAGAGAGCTGCTCTGGGGGCAGAGGCCACGGGGGGCCGGTGGTGTTAGCCCCTGGTCGGGGCAGCCTGGTGCCCGGCAGCAGTGCCCAGGGGTGGAAGGTCCCTTCTCACCAGGCATGAGGCCATTTCCATGCCTGAGGCTCTCCTTCAGAGAGCCACGCCCAGGAGGTGCTCCCACCGGCAGGAGGGTGGTGCTGGCGGTCAAGCCCTTACCAGGTAAATGACCAAAGCCACTGGTCGCTCCTTGAGAAAGGAGCTTACTTTTCCATCTCCCACCCCACCAGGGGGCGCCCGGGTAGGGTAGATGCAGCCCCCCTTCCTGGGGGCATGCTCCACATGTCTCTAACTCTCCAAAGAAGCTCTGGAGTGGGCACCGCTGTCCCCGTTTTGCAGCTGGAGAGACTGAAGCTCAGAGAGAGGAAGCGATTTGCCCAGGTCACATAGCGCAGCCTGGGGGTCAAGATCGGTCCCCCATCTCTGCCCCCAAAGACAGTGGGAGCATAGACTGGCAGCCAGATCGGAAGGCGGGGGCCGGGAAAGGGGACCTCACACAGACAGTGGCAGAGGTGGGAGCAGGGCAGTTGCTGAGCTGCTGGGCACGCTGTGGCCAAGAGCCTTCCAGGGCAGCTAGTTGCCCCATGGCCCCAGGCTCCAAACTGCAGCAGCACTGGCTAAGCCAAAGGTGGGGCAGGAGCTCCACCCCTTTGCCCCACAGCCGGAGAGAGGCCAGAAGGACCGGAGGGGCAGGAGGAGGTGCCTGGGGTGACTGGCACCTTCTCTCTACCCCTAATCTCTCCCTCTGGTCCTAGGTGACCTTTCCCCCAGATCCCAGGGCCTAGGCCCACCCCTGCAGGGAGGTGTGGAGAACAAAGGCGGCTGGGATTGGTCAGATGCGGCAGGGGTGTGTCCCAGGCACCAACAGCTCTGGCTGCGGAGCAGAGCAGGTGAACGCTAGGAAAGATCAGGAGCCGCCTGGGCAGCCTCAGCCCTGTCCCACCAGACCCCTGCTCTCCAGACATGGCCCCAGGACCCTTTGATCCCTAGCCCTGTGATCCTTCAGGGGTACAGGCAGACTAAGCGCCACCACCCCAGGGCCCATGCCATGCCCCTGACTCGGGCACAGCCGGCCGCTGGCACAGAGGACATGGAAACGGTGGCCCCGGCTGTGGACCTGGTGCTGGGCGCCTCAGCCTGTTGCCTGGCCTGCATCTTCACCAACCCCCTGGAGGTGGTGAAGACACGGCTGCAGCTGCAGGGGGAGCTACAGGCCCCAGGCACCTACCACCGGCCGTACCGGGGCTTGGTGGCTTCAGTAGCTGCTGTGGCCAGAGCAGATGGACTGTGCGGCTTGCAGAAGGGGCTGGCTGCCAGCCTCCTCTACCAGGGCCTCATGAACAGCGTCCGCTTCTACTGCTACAGTCTGGCCTGCCAGGGTGGCCTCACGCAGCAGCCAGGTGGCACCGTGGTGGCAGGGGCTGTGGCTGGGGCACTGGGAGCCTTCGTGGGGAGTCCTGCATACCTGGTGAGTGCCTTGTCTCCATCCGCCGCCACCCCGGGACCCAGCTTCCTCCGAGGCTCTGAAGCTTCCAGGGCAACAGGCCGGGCGGGGCAGGCTAGGAGGGGCTGCTCCCTGGAACATCCCGGCCCAGGCCTGCAGTCTGCCCCGGGGCAGGTGGACCTTGCCCCATCCTCGTTCCCCTGGGGTCCCCACCCTGCAGGTCCTGAGCCAGGGCAGAGGCAGAAAGTAGCAGGAGGGGTAAAGTCTCAAACCCGAGTTAGGCACCTGCGTGGCTTGTGCAAGCCAAGAGCCAGGGTCCTAGCACTAGGCTGGATGCATAACCTTGCCACCTCCTTAGCCCTCAGAACAGCTTTTCAAGGGTAAGCAGAAGGTTAAGCAACTTGCCCAAGGTCACACAAGGTGCAGGACCCTGCCAACTCTGGAGACTCACCCCGACTGACCCTGTTCCACACGCCCCCTAATCTGTGGCGGGGGGGCGATGCTCACAGAGGCCCAGGTGCCGGGGCGGGCTGCTCCCTGGAACATCCCAGCCCAGGCCTGCCATCTGCCCCGGGGCACCAAGGAAGGCTCAGCCAGGCTCTCCAAGGCTCCAGCCCTAAGCTGTCTGTCACCTCTGCTCTCACAGGTCAAAACGCAGCTGCAGGCTCAGACGGTGGCCGCGATGGCCGTTGGGCACCAGCACCACCACCAGGTGGGACTGTCACTCCCCAGAGCTCCCTGGGCTGGGTGGGCTCCTGGGCCGGCAGGGGCTGCCCAGTGACCCTGTACCCTCTCCCCACAGAGCGTCCTGGGAGCCATGGAGACCATCTGGAGGCAGCAGGGCCTGGCAGGGCTGTGGCGGGGCGTAGGTGGGGCCGTGCCCCGAGTCATGGTTGGCTCGGCCGCCCAGCTGGCCACCTTCGCCTCTGCCAAGGCCTGGGTGCAGGAGCAGCAGGTGAGGGGCCAGGGACAGCTGCACCAGCCCAGCTGGACCCTCACTCAGGGAATCCCAAGGGGTGGTCCCAGGCAGGGCCCCTGAAGACCTCTGGGCCCAGGTGAAGTGGGGGGTCAGCAGCGAACCCTGAAGCTGTAAAGGAACTTGGGGCGGAGGAGGTGTGGAGTAGGGAACAGCTGGAGGGGCCTTGTCTTCCCCACTTCCCCCAGCTCTTCCAGCCCCCAGGGGGTGGGAGGGGGGAGAGCAGCTGCAAGGGTCAGCAACCCGTACCATCCCCACAGTGGCTCCCAGAGGACAGCTGGCTGGTGGCCTTGGCCGGAGGCATGATCAGCAGTGTAGCTGTGGTTGCGGTCATGACTCCCTTCGATGTGGTCAGCACTCGGCTATACAATCAGCCCGTGGATGGAGCAGGCAGGGTGAGCGGGGGACCAGGTGGCAAGGGTGTGGGGCACTGGACAGCACCTGCTCACCGCACACACACAGACATGTGACATACAGGCAAGCGCATTTGTTCCTTTCCTGTGCTGGGCGCCTGTGTCCCAGGTGTGTGCTAAGCAGATCCACGTCTGGATGTTATTCCATCCCCACAACCACCTTCATCCTCCTGGTGAGGAAGCCAAGGCTCAGTGATCTCGCATCCCTTGCCTGGGGTCACCCAGCTGGTAGTGTAGGAGCCTGTCCTGGGATCCAGGCCTGGCCCCATGGCCTTGCTGGCGCGCACCTGCCATCGCAGGCAGTGGTGCAGTTGTGCCCAACACACAGGCGCCGTCCACAGGCTGAGTTAGGGACGAAATTGGCATGTGTGCCACTAGCCAAACTGAGCCCCAGCGGCCTGAAGGAAGAGACCCTTTTGTAAATTTCGCAACATAAAAGGCCATCTTTCTGTAATTTGCCCAGCTTGCAGGGGGGTTGGGGGGACTGCCTTTTCTGACGTGCTGCAGAAGCCCTTACACACAGACAGGTACCGCTGTGCCGGCCCGGGGCCCTGCACTGACACCCGCCCTGTGCCTGCCCCCAGGGCCAGCTGTACGCGGGCCTCGCTGACTGCCTGGTGAAGATCTGGCGGCAGGAGGGCCCTCGGGCGCTCTACAAGGGCCTGGGCCCCGCCTACCTGCGCCTGGGCCCCCACACCATCCTCAGCATGCTCTTCTGGGATGAGCTCCGGAAACTGGCCAGACGGGGCCGGCGCCAGGGCACCTAAGCGGTGCTCTCGCCTCTGCGTCCTGACACAGCCCGTCACCCCGCCCCGGCTGGGAATGGCCGTCTCAGAGCCAGCCACAGGCCCAGGCCCAGGCCCTGCCACAGGTCTGGGGAGAGCGTGCGTGCACAGCTGTGGTCGACCCAGCCCCGTGACCCACCGCCCGCTCCGAATCACCACCCACTCTGCTCTCCAGAAAGTTCTCTTCCTTCCCTCCTCTGTTTGGGGTTGCCTTGTCCCAGAGCCTTGCTCATGATTACAACCACCGTTCTGGAACATCACCGTGAGCCAGGTCACTTACCTGCACCAGCAGGCTCTTCCCAAAACAACAGTGCGAGGGGATAAAACCCTCTTTTGGTGACGAGGAAGCCAAGGTGCAGAGGGTGCTGTGCTTTGGTCAAAGCCACCAGTGGACCTCAGCCCTGCCCAGCCCAGACCTGTGCCCTTGGCAAGGACCAGGACCCCGGGGGCTGGCGTGTCCCTGAGAGGTCACTGCGTATAGGAGGAGACCCGGGGTGCACCGTGAGGCGTGTCATCCGTCTGTGGTGGCCGGCCGCAGCTGCCATAACGCCGTGCCTCAGACTAGGCGGTTGTAACAACAGAAAGGTATTTTCTCACAATTCTGGAAGCCGGATGTCCAAGATTAAGGGGTCAGCAGGGTCGGTTTCTTCTGAGGCCTCTCCCCTTGGCTTGTAGACGGCCAGCTTCTCTGTGTCCTTCCTTCTGTGTGTGCCTGTGCCCTGATCCCCTCTTATAAGGACACCAGTCATATTGGATTAGGGCCCATCCTGGTGACCTCACATTCATTTAATTCGCTCTTTAAGGACCCAGCTCCAACCAAGTTGCATTCTGAGGCACTGGGCTCTCGGACTTCATTATATGAATGGAGGGTCAGGGAATGCCATTCAGCCTATCACACCAACGAAGGGCTTTTGCTGAGGCCTTGCTTGGCGCTGAGCACTGTGGGCGTTTGCACAGATCCTCACAACAACCCTGAAAGGGAACCTTCGAGGTGCCCGTTGATCCCATGAGGAGACCAAGGCCAGGGCAGGGAGGTGACTTGCCCAAGGTGAGTGGCAGAGCTAGGTATCCTCCACCCGGCCCTTCCCCAAGCTGCAGCCACGCTCCCCACATGGGTGCGTCCCTTTGTGCTACAGAGGTGGACACCCAAGTCCCTGGACGGGGCAGGGCTGGCCCAGGTCAAGCAGCCTGAACCACCTCCCCTGCCAACGCCCCATGTCTTAGAAAAGCTGCCCCCCTCCCCAGGGCACTCCTACCAACACTCCAAACTAATAAAGTTTTCTATTTTGTTTACTTCAACGAGCCCCCTTGTGCCGGTAGTCTGTCTCCCCGCCCTGAACCGCCCCCTTGGCTCGCTACCTCAGTCTCCCCTCCCACCATGAAGCCACCTGGGCTACTTCGGTCTGGGAAAGGAGGATCCAGAAGGACTGGGCTGTGCGCCCCACCCCGGCTGGCCCAGGGGAGGCCTGCCCCCTAGTGGACACAGCGAGGAGAGTCGAGGCAGGCTGCCCTGCGGCGAGGGGAGGGGCCGAGCTGAATCCCAGCCTCCGCGGGGCGGGGCGGGCGATCAAACACGCCTCCAGACTTTGGGCTGAGGGGAGAGCCTGAAGCGGGGAATAGATACCCCCTCCAGATCTTGGGCTGAGAGGTCAGAGCCCAGACCAAGGCCGGGGGACAGCAGAGAACAGAGGACAGACCCGAGGCCTGGGGCTTCAGAAAGCCACTGCGTGGCAAGCCCTAAGCGCGGGTGAGAAAAGCGGGCACCGGCCTTGAGCAGGGACAGAAAGAGAGACCAACCCCAGAGACGCCCTTCATCTCCTGCTGCCCAGAGGTGACCACCCCCCCGGCAGGTTTAAGGCCCCTGGCTCTCCTCCCCTCCCTGCCCTCTCTGCCCTGGGCCTTTGACCCCTCCTACTGCCTCGCCCTCACTGACACCTTTGCCCCGTGACGTCAGTTCTGTGGTGCAGACCTGGTCCGCGGCCGGGGCTGCATCTGACAGCCATGTTCTCCCTGCCGTCCCCCACCTCCTGGATCCCTGGCCTCTCCTCCTTGGAGTGGGTCTCGGGCCTCCTCCTCAACTCCCTACTGCAAGGTGAGCGCCACTTCCCCATGCCCTCTGGGGCCTACTTCTGCAGTGCAAGGTGCACCCCACCCCTAGGTCCCCCAGCACCTTGGCGGCCCCTCCTCTATCCCTACCAAGCACGCCTACTTTCCCTCCTGCCCCCTCAGGCCTCATCGGGGCCTGCGGAGTCTCTGTCCTGAACAACCTGCTGAAGGTTTACTTCTTCGTGGGCTGTGCCAAGTGAGTGCCCACCTCCCCGGCCCACGCCCAGCCCCTTTGGGGCCCCTGGGCCCCCAGCTGAGACTCTGGTCTCTGAGGGAAGACTGGGGGCCAGAGGCCACTGTCTGGCCAGGGAGTGTCGCCAGGGCCCCCAGATGCCCTGCCCCCCCGCCCAGGGCAGAGGCTGGCAGTTCCGCTGGTCTCCCTACAGCCACTCTCCCCCACAGCAACCCGGAGCGGCAGCTGGACAAGGAGCGGCTGCGGGCCCGGTGGGCCTCGCTGGACACGGTGCACCTGGCCGGGCTGGCCCTGATCCTGACCATCGTGGAGGTCCGGGTGGCCTCCCTAGTGGTGCTCGAGTTCTCCCTCAGGGCTGTCTCCACGCTGCTCTCCCAGGGCAAGGTGAGGCCACAAAGAGGGGTAGGTGTGCCCTGCCTGGCTGGGCCCTGGTTTCCGCCCCAGAACGGGAAGCTGGGCCCCCTTGGAGCATATCATCTGCTCAGGCTGTGACCACCAAGGCCAAGTCTCCACTCAGAGCAGACACACCCCCAGCCCAAGAAGATGCTAGCAGCAGCTCCTGGATATCACGGGCTTCCCATGTGCTAATAGTTTCAGTGCATCTTCCCACTATCCTCCCAACCACAGGGGGCCCAGGTTCTTGTGATTCCCCATCTCACAGATGGGAAACTAAGGCTAGAGAGTGTAAGTGGCTTGTCTGTGGTCAACAACCCACAAGAAGCAGACGCAGGCTTTGAACCCAGGTCTTCAAGGCTCTGAGCCACCACCCTTCAGCAAACATATGAAATCAAGCTGGAGGGAATGATCCCTTTAGGGCCTGATGTGCAGGCAACAGTCCCTCTTTGGGACTGATCGTCAGGGTTCCTTTGGGCTCCAGTCTCCCACAGACAGAAGCATTTGTACCTTGACAGCTCTCAGGGTCACAGTGGCAAGGGGAGGCCTGAGCCCCGCCATCGCGGCCCCTCTCCTGCCCCCTCCCCTGCCAGGGCTCCCGGAGCACCGAGAGGCTGCAGCTGTACCTGCTGTGCCAGTACTCGCTGGGCTGCGGGCTGACCTGCGGCCTGAGCTTCCTGCAGGAGGGCGCCGCTCACCGCACGCTGAACCTGCTGCTGGGCCTGGGGCTGGCTGCACTGCTCAGCACTACCACCCAGCGCCTCCGCCGCCACGTCTGTTCCCTCTATGAGCTGCACAGCAGCCAGCACTACTGTGGGGTTTGCCTGGGCCTGCTGGTCGGTGCACATGGCCTCCCCCGGCTGCTGGGCCGCACCCTGGCCGTGGCCTTTGCTGTGGGTGACCTGGCAGCCGTGGCCCTCATCAATCGGGACTTCCTGACCACCTCGGAAGCTGTGCGCTTCTGGACGCCGCTCACCATCTGCTACACCCTCCTGGTCATCTACATGCAGGGTAAGGGTCACAGTTGGGGCCCTTGGCATTTGCGACACATTCACGTCCTGCTTTCTGACCCGGGGCGGGGGCCGACGCGCTTGCTCCTGTCCCTGCCATCCCAGAGTGCCAGGCGTGGTAGCAGAGGTCACACGGCGAGGCAGCCAGAGGAGCAGGCAGCGCGCAACGGGAGCCCAGAGCAGATAGCGCTGTAATTGGACCTCGAAGGGGAAGCAGGAAGCCCCCTGAGAGGGGAGAGGGGGCCGAACCCAGAGGTGAGCGAGAGCATGGCAGCCTCGAACAACAGAAAGAAGCTGAGTGTACCTGTCACCCCAAGAGGTGGCTGAGAGGCTGAGGCTGATGAGAGTCACAGGGACCTGATGGAGAGCCCTCGTGGGCCAGGCTGGGCAGCCTATGAAGAGCCATTGCAGGGTTTGAAGCAGGAGAGGGTGACCCGGTCACATCTGGGCTCTCGGAAGAGCCACCTGGCTGCTGAGTGAGGACAGGGTGGGCAGAGTGAGGATGGCAGGCAAAGGAAGGGTGGGTGGGCAAAAAGCAGCAGGCGCAAAGGCCCTAGGGTGGGCATGAGCTTGGCGTGCCTGGTGAACAGCAAGGGAGCCGGGATGGCTGGGAGTTTGAGCACAGGGGAACGAGTCAGGGATGAGAGGATGCTGGAGAGTGGGCACCGGTGAAACTGAGCAGGACCTCGGAGGCCCGGTAAGGAGTTTGGAGCTTGTTCCAGCTGCAGTGGGAAGGGCTAGAGGATTACAAACAAAGAGCGATTTCATATCACTGATGTGTTTAGAAGGTCACTAGCTGTTGAGTAGACACTTGAGTTACAGGGTCAAGAACAGAAGCCAGGAGCTCAGCAAGGAGGCTGCTAGGGAGAGACGAAGGTGGCCGGGACCAGGGTGGAGCAGTAGAGTGGGGAGGTGTGCTTGGGTGGGGATCTGTTTGGCAGCAAGCATTGACAGGCTTCCTAGGGGATCAGACTTGGGATCAGACAAAGAACTGCAGGGGAGGAGTCAGGCGACCTCCCGCAGCTGGAGCTGGCGAGCTCGGTCCTGCCTGCAGGGGGAGCACGCGAGCACACCAGCGCAGGCCTGGCGGGAGGGCAGCGAGGCGTGGGAGGAAGAAGTACCTGGTGCTCTGGGGGATGCTGAGGGTGGGGGCGGGGGTGCGGCCAGGAGCAAGGGAGAGGGGCTGCGTGGAGGAGAGGAAGGCTTGAACTGGGCAGGATCTCTGGGGGAGTTGGGAGGTCCAGCCCTGATCTGGGGCACCGGATGCTGCAGGCAGGGGGTGATGGGCAGTGTGTCCCCCATAGAGGAGCAGCGGCAGCACCCTGGCCTGCAGAGCCAGGTCCAGACGGTGCTGGTGCGCATGGGTGGCCTCTTCGTGCTGCTGCTGACCGTGGGCCGCTGGCTGGACCTCCTGGGTGTCTTCATCTCCCTGCTGGGCGAGCTTTGGTGCCTGGTGGGCGTCCGAACTCTGATTGACCTTTGCCAGATACAGGTGGGTACCCCCACCGTGTGCATCCCCCAGACACTGAAGCCTTGCCCCTTGCCCCAGACAGCCCTAGGAGTCTCCACAGGCCCAAGTTTTGTTTGTTTGCTTTTAGATTTTATTTATTTATTTTTACAAGGAGGGGGAGGGAGTGCGAAAGAGGGAGAAACATCGATGTGTGAGAAATACATGGATTGGTCACCTCTCGTATGCCCCCAACTGGGGACCTGGCCCACAACCCAGGCATGTGCCCTGACTGGGAATCGAACCGGCCACTCTTCTGTTCACAGGCTGGTGCTCAGTCCACTGAGCCACGCCAGCCAGAGCTCAACAGGCCCCAGTTTAAGAAGAACTAGGGCACCCTTTCTTGGGATGGGGGGCAGAGGGAGCTGGAATCCCCTCTCTCGCCTGGTGTTAAGCTTTGACCTGTGCCCTAGAAGCCTCCCCAGAGGTGGGGAGGATGGTCTTAGATAAATGGAGGCCTGAGGTCCCCCCAGGGGATGGGGCATTGGTGGGGGGTATCCTCCATCCTTTCCTCCCCACCTCCCTCAGGACTTTCCCTCCCAGAGGCCTTCAGTGTCAGCCCCAAGCCAGCCCCGGCCCTCAGTGCCAGCCCAGGCCCAGGAGACGACCCGCTCCTGACCTGCCCCAGAGAGGACTCCTAGTCTGACTCAGGACCACCGGGAGCCTGGAGCCTGGACCCCGGCCTGATGCCTGGAGGCAGACAGGCAGGGTCAGCCCCCACCTGGGACTTGAGGTGGGCACTGGAGCCCCCGAGATGGAGGGGAGGGTTTGGGGCGAGGGCCCTCAGAAGGCGGGGGCAGCTGGAGGCCACTGGGCTCATCCTTCATACCTCCAGGTAGCCCCCTAACACCCGCCCCAGTGGGGGGGAGAGGGATGGGGGAGAGGCGCGTCCTCAGAAGGGCTTCCCCCTTCCAGGCCTCTCTTGCCCTCTCCACAGACAATAAAGATGTTTTTCTCAACCTGTTCTTAGAATTGTGAACATGCAAGCAGGGAGAGGGGCTTTTCCGAGACCGCACAGCTCTTCCGGTCGGGCAGGCTTCTGGGATACGTGTCAGGAGTTCCGGACTGAGGTGGCTGAGAAGGGGTGGGGTGGACGCATGGCCTAGCGTCTACCTGCAGTTTTGGGTGGGCAGTGCCTGTCCCATCCCATCCTAGGCTGAGATACAGCTGAAGGAATCGCAAGGCCAAAATGGCCTCTGTTGCTGCCCATGGGTCCCTAGCCCGACTCTGACCTGTCTAAGACCACGAGGATGCTTCCTGTCTCAGCTGCATTCAGCCTCGTGTCCCCTGCAGGGTCCAGCTCAGAGAGGCCACAGAGCACATGGGCAAAGGCTGGGGACCAGCTCCTCTGTGGGCTTGCTGTGTACCACGGGGCGGTGGCTCGCCATGTGCTGGGCACGGTGCTGAGCATTTCTGTGGTTTCGTTTCAGTCTGACATCTGCCCCAAGGGGTAGGTACTGTTACCCCCTTTTACAGATTCAGGAACTGAGGCTCAGAGAGGTTAAGGAACTCTCTCAGGGACACACCGCCTGTTAGTGGCAAAGTCAGGATTTGCATCCAAGTGGCCTAAACCACAGAGACCAAGCACTTTGCATGCTTCCTGCCCACCTCTTCTTACCGAACTGAGGCCAGGAAAACTCACAGGTGGGCATGAAAAATATGGCAGGTTCTGGAATGTGGTTCTGGCCACCTTTTGTCCAGGGTAGCCCCAGGCTCCATTACGGTCACGTTCTCCTGGCGCGGGCACCAGCCCCACAGCACAGTTCAGTTCCACGGGGCCTAGGCTGGTGCCTTTCCCAAGAGGGGCCCCCCGGGGCGAAGGAGGCCCTCAGCCAGGGGGCTTCTGAGGGGTGGTGAGGGTCAGGTTGTTGGAGTGGCAGGGGAGGCACTGGGGGTGGGGGGGGGGTGAAGACTGGAGAAGCTTCTGGGAGGATTCCAGGCTCCTGTGGGTCTCACTCCCTGCAAAGGCTGCCGTGGTCGCCCACAGGCTGCTTCGGCGCAGGCAGAGCCTGGCCCAGGAATTGGGTCTCGCCTCCTCGCAGCACACCTGGGAGACTTGGGGCAGGCCAGCCCCAAGGCTGCGTGGGGCAGTTTCCGCCAATCCTCCCTGGAGTGGCCACCCCACTGATGGCTTGAGCCCCACCTCTGACCCCTTGCACCGTCCTGCCCCCAGGAGGGGCCTCTCAGCCCCAGAGTAGCGGAGGCGGGGGACATGCCTGCAGACCTCCCCACCCACAGTACAGGACCCAGCCACCCTCTGCCTGGGAGTGCGCACCGTTCGCTCTGGGCAGGAAACTCGCCCCCGTCTAGGAGGAAACGGCTCAGTGAGGTGGGCACAGAGCCAGCCTTGCCAGACCCAGACTGGACACCAGGTTCCAACTGTTCTGATGTTTTTGCTGGAAGGTTCCCCAGCCTTCTGGCCCCCACACAGCCCAGGACCCAGTGGGGACGGGGCTGGGAGGGATTGGACTTGGCGGTCCTTTCCTTTTTATGGGCACAGGGACCGTTTTCCAAACAAAAACTGGGGCACGTGGGCTGCAGTAGGATTCTTTTCTTATCTATTAAACTATTTTTGTGTAAAAATTAGATCATTCTAAGTGAGGCATTTAGCAAATCTCCATACCAAACAAAGAGAAAGGGCAGAGGAAATCCAAAAGGTATGGTCTGGAATAGGGGCATGGAACAGGGGCATGACCTTGGGATCCCACAGAGACCACGAGAGCCCGCCTCCTGGGCCCTGACCGGCATCCTCCTGAAAAGGGGGGAGACCAGTGCCCCCAGGCCCAGCTAAGAGGGCCCGTGGTAACCTCTGGGGCCCCAGTGGTTGCAGAGGGCCAGCCGTCTCCTTCCTGAGCCCCCCGTTTCTGTCTTTTCTGAGCTATAATATTGTCCCTCTGGGTGTCCTGCATTCCTTGCTCCATTCATGCACAAGCAATTACTGAGCATCGGGTAAGGGGACAGAGTGACAGGGGGCTGCTGGGTCAGGGAGGGTTTTTTTGTTATCTACAGCTGTATAACAAATCATTCCAAAACAACATATCAGCTTAAAACAATAGACATTTAATGTCTCGCTTTTATGGTGGGTTGGGAATCTGGGTGCAGTGTGGCTGGGTCCCCCGGCTCAGGGTCTCTCACAGTCAAGGTGTTGGCTGAGGCTACGCTATCATCCGAAGGCTCAAGTGGGGAAGGATCCAATTCCAAACGCACACACATGAGGATTGGTAGGACTCACTTACCCCTGGGCCATCGGGCCAAGGGCCCCAAGGGCCGCGGCCGTGGGCCACGGTCTCCCTCACTTCAGTTCTTTGCCATGTGAGCCTGTCTACAGAGAAGCTCACAATGTGACTGCTGGCTTCCCTCAAGCAACCAAGCAAGAGAGGGACAGAGAGAAGATGAGCAGGACCAAAGTCACAGTCTTTTTGTAACCCAATGTTAAAGCCACATCCCACTGTTTTTCCTGTGTTCCGTTGGTGAGAAGCAAGTCACCCTGAGCAGAGGGGATCATACAAGGGTGTGGCAGGTGGGGGGGTCCTGGGGAGCCACCATAGAAACTGCCTTCTGAGAGACATGGAGGGACTGCAGGAGGAAGCCAAGCAAAGAGCTGAGAGAGGGGCCTTCCCGGCTGAGAGACCAGCACAGGCAAGGGCCCTGGGTGGGAACAAGCTGTGTGGGGGTCGGGAGAGCAGGGGGATGTTAGGAACAGCAGGAAATGTAGCAGCGTGGCTGGAGCACCACCAGGGAATGAAGTGTCAGGCCCAGGGTCACGGAGGTGGGCAGGGGCCAAGTCTTTCAGGGCAGCAGAGGGGCTGAGGGTTTATTCCCCCATGACAGGCAGCCAGCTCCAGCTGAGGGTTTTCCAAAGAGGGGACATAATGTGACTTACGGGGAGGGGGGCAAAAAAACCCTGGAATTTGCTTATTAAAAACTGTGTATTCTTTTTTAAAAACAATTTTATTTATTTTGTTTTAGAGAGAGGGGAAAGGAGACAGAAAGGGAGAGAAACTTCGATGTGCGAGAGATGCATGGATCAGTTGCCTCTTGCACACCTCCAACCAGGGACCTGGCCCGCAAGCCAGGCGCGTGCCCTGACTGGGAGTCCAGACTGCAGCCTCTCGGTTCACAGGCTGGCGCTCAGTCCACTGAGCCACGCCCTTCAGGGTTAAAAATTGTGTATTTGTTGCTACATGTTTAAACCAGTCACCTTCAAAGCACTCTCCATTTGATGCAATATACCTATCAAGACATTTTTTTCCACTGCTCAAAAGGGTTTTTGATCTCATCAATTTTGATGCCTTTTAGTGCTTCCGCCGTTTTTGGTTTCACCTCTTCCACATCGGCAAAATGTTCTCTCTTTGAGGACATTTTTTGACTAGGGAAACAAAAAAAAAAGTCACTTGGGATGAGGTCGAGTGAGTAGGGGCATCGGGGTCAGGCCATTCTTGGTCAAAAACTGCTCAACAGTCCGCGCTGTGTGGGCAGGTGCGCTCGTAAATCACCCGTCATGAAATGGGCAAATGTATTGAAAGAGTCCTCAAAAAAAATTTGCGGAAGCTGAACACTGACTCTCACAACAACGCCAGCTGGTGCACTGATACAGACGGGTTCCTAGAACACTCACCTAGCAGGGGAAGCCTGTACTCCAAGAGGCTCGCCCTCCAGAAGATAATTCTGTTTTTTGGGGGGTCCCCCCTCATATATTAACTTGTATTATGCGCTGATCGCTTCCACCTGCCTGTGAGCTCCATGGGGACAAAGATTGTGTGTGACTTGACTTCTGTAAGGTCCTTGTCTCATGCCCGATCACTGATTATTGGATCAAAGCCCCCCTGCTGTCGGCAGCAGGGGCCAGCTCCCCAGCGACAGACTGGGCGGCAGCAAATGTCCCCCTGGCTCTGATCTTGCCCCCAAATATCTTTCCCACCCCACCCCGGCCACCCAGGGTCTCAGCTGCCTGAACTGCATTCAAAGATTGAGCCCTTGCTCAATCGCGTGGAAGAAAGCTGGTCTGAGGCTCGCAGGAGGGAGGAGCGGAGCTGGCCTCCGAGCTGGCAGACAAAGGGCGTGTGTTCTCACTCAGTGCACTTCCTGGGTTTCCATTGCAGGAAGCTTGGCACCTGCCGAGGTGACACCGACACCTGGAGCCTGGAGCGGTGCGGGAGACCCTTGGCCAGGACGCTCCTCCCCACCTGGAGGCAGTGGTGAGGTGAGACAGGTGGCCAGTGGGGCTGGGTGGCAGACCCCCCATTCCCCTTTGACCTTCCCCCATCCTGAGCCAGTCTTAGCCCAGAGCAGATGTGAGGATGCCTGGGTCCCAGATGGAGTCTGTGTGACCTTGGACAAAGCCCCAAATCCACCCTTTGGTGCCTTCTTGTCCCACCATAGGGTGCAATGAGGGGGTTTGGGGAATAGCAAGGAAGTGAGGGAGGGCAGCTGCATTCTCCTGTTTGTTTTTCAATCCTCGCTTTAGGATATGTTTATTGATTTTAGAGAGAGAAAGTGTGAGTGTATGAAACATCGATGTGAGAGCGAAACACCCACTGGTTCCCTCTAGTATGCATTCCCATGGGGCATCGAACCCGCAGCCTTTTGGTATATGGGATGACGCTCCAACAGAGCCGCCCAGCCAGGGCTGCATTTTTCTGTTTTAAACAAGCTTTTGGGTCACTTGAAAAAGGGTTTCTACAGCCAAAGGTGCCTGAAAGGCCCCGGGTCTTACCCTCCTCCTCCGCTCATTCCCATCTCCATTGCCATGTCCGGGGACAGCGGTTCCCCCCTTCCCCCTGGGCGGAGGGCGCCGAGAGAAGTCTTGCTCCCACAGCGGAGGCATTGCTGCCCGGCCAGCACTGAGCCCGCTGACGGGGTGAGGTGGGGGGGGTGCTCAGGCAGCTGTGACTGCCACTCTCCCTCTGCCTCCAGAACTCTGGTTGCCTCTCCAAGC